ACCTTTCTTCCAGTGTTCTTCTGCTAAGAAGCAGTGACCTTAATTTCCTTTTTTCCTGTCCCCGCCCCGCCGCTGCACCCTACTCCCTCTTTCAGTCTAGTAGCAAAGCTTGTTGGCTCTGTCTCTGAAGTGGATCCCAAATCTACCCATTTATTTCCACCTTGGTTTCTCTAAGCCACCAGCATCCCTTGCCTGGACCACTGCAACAGCTCCAAGCTGATCTCTCTCTCACTCTTGTCTTCAGAAAACTCATTCTCCACACAGTAGCCAGAGGGATCGTTCAATAACCCAAATCAGAGGATGCTGCTTCCCTACTTAAAAGCCTCCAGTGGTTTTCCATTACACCGAAGATGCACCCTCATGGCCTCACTGTGGCCTACAGGGCCCTGGTGAGCTGGCCCTCGCACCTCCAGCATGGTGCCCATCATGCTCATCTTGGCCTTTCTGTGCCAGGAACACCCACTTCCTTGCTTGTTTCTCTGCAATGACTCTGCGCATGTGCCGTGACCCAGACCCCCAGAGCTTCTCCAACGTAGCCTCTCTTTGTTAGTTCAGGTCTTGACTCAGATGTCATTTCCTCCAAAGGGACAGCCCTTCCCTGACTAAATAAGTGTCCCCAGCCCAAGTGTGAGTGACCTGTTTTGGAAGTAAATGAGATATGTTGTTCTTTTCATAAAGCATTTTTGAGAAATATAAGCCAAGAGCCATCAGTCAGTATTTTTGATTAGACATCCTTGAATCTTATTTTAGAATCATCTATAATCAACAAAATCCTTCTGTGCAAGTGGTATTATCAAGTTTCTGTCTGGAGAATAAATATTAGTCTTGCTGTTTTTTGACTTACTCAACTGAGCATCTCATTATGCAAATTTTATGAATGGTTTAAAATATGTACAATATAGTATATTAAGTTACAGGCATATAAATTGCATTAAAATAGAATTTAAAATTAGAGTTTTTCACTAATGTCAGTGTATCATCAATACAAGAGGAATTATTTAACTAAATTTTTAATCACTGAGCTTTATGTACAGCATGACTAACTTTCTGAGAGAATTTGAATTTGATTTAAATTACCAAATTGCTATTATCTTGAAGAGGAAAGTGTATATAGTTTAGGGTACATCATTCCTGGTGTGATTTTAATCTTTACTTTTACAATGGTCTTTATGAAAAATGTTACTAAAATAGTGCAGAAAAATTACCAGAGTTAAGATAAATGATAGGGTTTCTGATTTTTGATCTTTGCTTCAGAAAAAAAAAAAAAAGAAAAGGAATCTACACCCAAATGGTGAAACCTTTCACAGCAGTCATTTGAGTGAGTAACAGATTCCAAAAACAATGAAATTGAAATTGTGTGTGCAGCATCCTGTATGTTGTTTAAACCACACAGGAAAGTGGGTAACAGGAAATGCATTTAACTTTATAAAAAGAAAACTGAATATTAGTGGAGAAAATAAGTGGGGAAATTTGTCATTATTCATCCTAGAAGATTCTTAAATTAGATAAAACGGCGTTCAGAAAACTAAAACATGACATGATCTTACTTCACATGTATTCCGTTCTGTCCAGGTTCAAAAATGGTGGTGATTAAAATGTTTGTGTCCTTTGACCCACCTCTGGATAGCTCTTCAAAGGGAATAATCCAAATTGCAGACTAAGATTTATGCACAGAGATGTTAATTGCGGCATTGTTTATAATTTTGAAAAGCCAAGTACCAACCACATATCCAGTGATGTGAATATTAAGCAGCTTGTAGAACACCCATACAATAAAGGATCATATAATCATAAAATTAATTTTTTGAAAGACTGTTTAATGTTGTGGGGAAAAGTTTTGACATGATGCTAAGTGAAAAAAAAAAAGAGTACACTTATACAGTATGATCTCAATTAGGTAAAGATAATTTCCATAGAAGAAAATACATGAACAGTGGTTCATTCTGAGGAGTAATTGTTGCTGGTTTGTATTTTCTGGAAAAAGCACATTACTTTTATAGTAGCAAAAGGATTATTGAAAAAGGAAATTGTGGTGGCTAATAAAATATTAATTAACTATTTAAGCTTACTGTGTTTCAGAGCTGGAGGGTAGCACCAGGATCATGTGGGCTGGGAGCTGTGACTAGGGGTTGTAGTTGGTAGGGCAGACTGTCTGAGATCTGCTTTTCGGGAGACCGTAGCAGAGAGGTAAGGCTTCTTAGTGTTTTTGTCCTGGAATGTCCCTGATGTGCCCAGAGCTGACATTCACTGGCTGTCACTTGCTGATCAGAACGTCTAACTGGCTGTCAACTTTGCTTTAACAAATATAACAAAGGAGGACAAAGTAATTTTTATCTAAGTGTGACTTATTTGGTAGCCAAAAACTCTAATACAGGAGACAACAATGAAAGATTCCTGATGGAATAACGTGGGAAGCATTCTAGATGGTCCTTCAGTCTTGGGGTTCTCATCCATGGAGAGTCATGAAATCATTTTAGTGGGTCTCCCCAGCGTCACCTTTTAAATGAAATTAGAACAGGATAGAAGAGACTGGGAGCATGGCATATAGTAAGTATTCATTCTTTAAGGTTTTATTTCAGGTGTGCTTTTGTGTGTACTCGGTTGTAAATGAGAAATGTGTTTTGTTTTCCTTTGCAAACTATGATTTGCAGTCAAAAAAGTCAAGAGACTCCCATTGGGATCTAGGCTAGTGGTTCTCAGTAAGATCCTGGGACCAGTAGCATAGGTGCCACTTGGG